AATTTATTTATTTATTTAAAATTAAATTAAATAATACACCTGAAGAGATTTTATTATTGTTTAGTTATGTATTTAGTTATAAAACCAGCCCGGCTGTTGCGCTGACGCAGGGTACGATCCCACCCCTTGCATTGGGGAGTGCAAAGCAATCTTAAGTTAAGAAAAGTAGTGTCACATTTACTATTGTAACGAGAAGTAATGTTAAGAAAAACAATCATTGTAACATAAGTGTTAATTCAATAAAAACACATTGTTAAATAACACGTTAATTAATTTTCACACATTTAATGGTCCTTCGAAAGTATTAATGAACACAACTCATTAAGTATACATAAAAAATTACTTGCTTTTCATTAGTTATAACTATAGATGCGCATGCAATAGCAAGCCTAGCATTTATCAGGTGTGCGCTGTTTAGGGTGTCACCATAATCAATTTTTCACATTTTTTCAATTTACAATTTAATTAATTTCTATCAAAATGCCAGACGACGCTGCGCAAACGGTGTAAGACGACGGTCAAAGTAAAGGGTACATTACGCGTTTCGCAAAGTTTTTAATACTTGACGAAAAACCATTAACAGAGTTAAAAGTTAGATTAGAGAAAATAGTAGAACAACACGGAGAATTTTGTGTCATACTTGATCCTAGCGAGGAAGCGCAAGGTAAATTAATCGATAACGACTTTTTTTGAGTCATCGCCGAAGCAAGGGACATTTTGGTCCAAGATGAACAATCACAGTTGAAATAGCTAATCAATTAGCGGATCAGTTAGTGCAAGTAAATCAAAGAGCTGATTAACTTCGCGATTCTGCGTTAACATCCACAACTTCTACGGATAAATCTTCCCACCTTTGACGGTGAAATCACAGATTGGCTCTCATTCCACGATTCATTTATTTTATTAATAGATTCAAATAATAGCCTTATAAAAGTTAACAAACTACAATATTTAAAATCATCTTTAATACGTAAAGCTTTCACAACAATCGTCTTATTGTATTTAGTCACATTAAAAAATTATTTGAATTATCTAAAATGAGCAAAGAAACATATGTTGAACTTAAAAAGTTAACAGACACTCTCAATAAACATCTAAGCGCCTTAGAATCACTAAAACAGCCTATTGAAAAATGGGAAACCCTTCTTATATATTTAATGAGCATTGGAGTCTACAAAACGAAAATGGGAAGAAACACTAAAAAGAGATGAAGTGCCTACTTTATCATCGTTTAAGAAATTTTTAGTAAATCGTTGTATATTTTTAAATAGCATAGTCATCCCAAACTCCAAATAACGACACTAATCGCTTTACTGCTAAAAATTTCAAGTGTACAGGTCATTTAAACACACATGTTAAACGACAAAATGCATTCATTACTAATACCACCCAAGGGTACAATACCTGTTTTTATTGCAGTAAAAGGGATCATGCTATTTATTTTAACTGTTTAACCTTTTTAAACTTGCCCATTGCTGAAAAATACAATCAAATAAAATTTATAAAACTCTGTATGAATTGTTTACGACCAGGCTATTTAAAAGACACTTGTCGATTGGGTCACTGTAAAATATGTTCCCAAAAATACAATACAATTTTGCACTCACAAGGTTCCAATCAAAATCAGAGCATATCGCAAACGCATTTTGAAAGCGCGCAAATATCAAGATTCAATAATCAGCCCACAAATTTGCGACTTTCGCACAACGGTAGACCGATTAATAATTGTTTCCACCTGTCATAATTTGAAGTTTGATTGGTTGATGTCGTAAAAGGTTGATTGTTCACGTGACTTAACGTTTGATTATTGAATTAATCAAACGTTAGATTGGTTGATTGATTGAATTGTGTATTTTTACACTGATTATAATACAAAAATAAAAAATTCGGGTAGTTTTTGATGCAACGGCTACACCACATAACGGGTTGTCGCTCAATGACTGTTTGTTGTGTCGGTCCAACAATACACGACGATTTATTTGACATTGTTTTACGTTTTAGAACCCATCCCAACTGCAGACATCGTAAAAATGTACCGACAAATTTTAATTAATCCCATAGATAGAAAATATCAAAACATTTTATGGCGCGATACTGCATTAGAAACCGTTAAAATATTTAAATTAAAAACTGTAACATACGGTACAGCATGCGCTCCTTTTTTAGCGATAGGTTTTCTACAAGAATATTGTTATGGCTTCTAGCAGTAACACGTGTTTTAAATGCGCTAAAACTATACGGGCAAATACCTTATGTATACTATACAGTGTATACTATACTAAGTATACACTATACATTGTATAGTGTTCAAAATGTAAAAAGTGGTTTCATCGTGATTGTGTAAACTTAAATATCGAGGAAATCAAAGAAAAAATTTAGGAAGGTCAGTGGTTTTGCAGTTTTTGTAAAATTAGCCCAGTCACATCAATTTGCACTGAAAAAATCGACCTAAACGAAAGTCACCAACTAAAAATTGTTTTAAATGAAAATATTCTACTAAGAAAACTTATAATAGAAATGGAACAATCAAATACAGTATTAAATTAAAATAAATATTTACTTGAAAGTAAAATTAAAGTGTTACAAGAAAAAGTAAACTCGTTAAAAAACTCTAACAACTTATCCGCGCATTCCAACGAGGTACAATCCACCAGTCAACCAAACCCCGCAAACCCACTATACAGCGAAATCATTCAACCAATTAAACGAAAACGTAAGGAGATTCCCCAAATTAACATCCCTAAAATTCAAATGGCACCAACTCCATATGCTCCCAAGTCACCGAATAGTATTCCATTCACAGAGGTCAAGTACAAAAAGAAAAAAATAATTAATATCGGGACGTCCAAACAAACTCTTCCCACAGACGAGTTTGTAGGAAGAGATGACTTAAATAAAAAAGCCTGGTTGTTTATATCAAGGGCAAAAGATCATGTTACTGCTGACAACGTTAAAAACTATATAATTAAAGAAACTAAACTAGATGAAAATGAGGTCATAGTTAAAGAAATTAAGACCCAATACGAAAAAATACATGCTATACGAAAAAGATTTTTGGCCACCAGGTATAGCATTTAGAAGGTATAATTTTAACTTCAACGAGAAGAAAGATCAACCTGAAAATAAACAAAATACCAATACCGGCGATTTTTTATACAGTGCAAACTAGTAGAAAAAAAGCAACTAAAAAAATATAAACAAACATTTAAAATTCTCTATACTAATATACAGTCTGTCTTCAACAAATTAAACGAATTGGAAATACTTCTACAGCAGGAAACTCCACTAGCTCTATGCTTATCAGAATCATGGGCAACAAATGACAATATCAGTCTTCTAAACATAGTTGGCTATAAACTGGCCTCTCATTATTGCAGAAACACATATTCCCATGGTGGAGTTTTATTATACGTCCACGTCTACGTTTTGCGTAGACAAAGATATCGAAGTGTGTGCCACCATTATTAATACTAACAACACGAAAATTGGAATTGTCGTCGTATACAGATCCCCTAAAGGAAATATTGACACGTTTTACTGTAATACATCCTGTGTTCTATGTGAAGTATCAAAAGAATGTGACTATATGGTATTCTGTGGTGATTTTAACATTAACTCATTAACTCTAACTGTGCAATCTGCCATTTTACAGGATATTTTTGATTCATTTCTATTAACCAACAAAAATAAAGACCCGATAAGAGTTGCTTGTTTTGAAAACGGCCAGCTATTGACTATACCGTACCTTCATTTGCAAGCTAACCATAGGGAAAATACATTGTAACTGGACCAGTCGCAGTTGTAGCGGAACAGCCAAATGTGAAGTGGCTACTCGATGGCAAAAAGGTGGGCTGGTGATGCTGGGTGGCTAGTCCAGCTCGTTCTCAGGGTGTGTAGAATGTTCGAGAGTACAAATTAAACAAGTGCTTCGGTAGGAACAATATATTTCCTGGTGCATACAAGTTACCAGTTCCGAAAAATGTATATAATTGTAAAGAAAAAGAGAATCTAAAATACGAAAGACATTTCATTATTACCACAAACTATGCATGACTATTAATAAATAAGAAAACACGTCGTGATCTGGGAATGCGACATATGCTTTCCTATGGATTTTGACGCGCTGAATCCGAATCCGATGTCAAAATTTGTCCTCCAGGTCCGCAGTTCAACCTAACCTCAAAAAAACGTGAACAAATTAGTATTTTCTGTTCTGGGGATGAGGCATGTCGATTCTTATGTTTTTCGATGCATTGAATGTAAATAATCTCTCAGAATCGATCGCACACGTTGTTATTTTGACTCTAACCTCGAAAAATGGTAAATAAAAAATTGATTGAATGTCTTCAGTCTGATTGCTTTTCACTATATCGTGTTCTTTTCTCTTCGAATGATCGATGCAAAGAGTTTCGCCTTCGTTTTTTCCCCTTTAAAATAGCTTCTCTTTTCAGCATCCAACAAAAATCAGCCATCATGACTTCATCCCATCTACCCTGATACCGTTGTTCCATGACTTTTATATATTGATGGAACCGTTCGCCTTGTTCTTCACTGTAGTCGCCAACATTGTCGGGAAACCTATCCAAATGTGAATCGAGGAAGTGTAATTTTAAATTCATTAAACACCCCAATTTTTTGAAATTCATTACCATCTTATTTACAATTTTTTTGTAGTCAGGACTTTTGTTGTTCCCCAAGAAATTCGTCGCCACTGCCTTGAAGCTTTTCCAAGCGGTTTTTTCGACGTTGGTCATCTGTGTAATGAAATTCGGGTCTTTGAATAGCGTTCTGATTTGTGGTCCATCAAATATACCTTGCAATAATTTAGCCTCTGATATTGATGGGAATTTTCGCCCTATGTATGTAAAGCATTTACCATCCTTATCCAAGGCTTTGACAAATTGCTTCATCAATCCAAGCTTAATGTGGAGGGGTGGAATCAAGACTTTCTGAGGATCAACCAGACGCTGGTTGATGATGTTGTGCGAACCGGGTTTAAATTATTCTCTCTCAGGCCAATCTTTTTTGACATAATGGTTAGCACGATCTCTGCTATTCCACAGGCACAGAAAGCATGGCTCTTTTGTGAATCCAGATTGTTGCCCTAGTATCATACTTATTATTTTAAGATCTCCGCAGATTAGCCATTTGTGACTCGCGTACTTTACTTTATTTAAAAGCATTTTCACATTGTTATACTCCTCTTTCATCACTGTGGAGTGAGCGATTGGGATGGGAGCGTAAGAGTTGGTATTGTGTAGTAGAACTCCTTTTATGCTTCGTTTGGATGAATCTATGAAAAGTCTCCAGTCTTCATCTTTATATGTATCTTTTTTTAATAGATCCATCAAGCCTTTCACGTCAGTGCAATAAACCAGAGAGGTCTCTTTATCTTTTGTGAAGAATTTCCGGAATTCTTGGTCTCTATTACGATAAAAAGAGACTTTTTTGTTCGGCTCTAAAAAATTTCTTTTCTGCTCCATCTTTTGGTAAGCCAAGATCCCGAATAAAATCATTCAGTTCCAGCTGCGATAATAATAATGGAACTTTCGACTTTTTGTTATGTGCAACATAATCATCTTCTTTCTCGTCATTGCCATCTGTGTCATCGCTATTTTCTTCAGGTTGGTCGTCGACTTCCATGACATCATCTATTTCAACAGAACTCGAACTCCTTCGTGCCTTCGGACTTATTTCAGTTGGTCTTAATACTGTGGACACATTGATGTATGAGATTTTACTCTTTGTTTTACTGGTAGTCCCGGCTTTGACGTCATTCATGCAAAAGTAGCAGTCGTTCATACGAAGCGGTTGTTTCCATATAGCTGGTGTGGAGAATCTGCAATACTTTTGGAAACCTGAATTTCGAGAACGATACAGCATCAGTCTGCAGGAATTACAGATGATGTATGGAACCCAATTTGTTTCTTGGTGTAACACTTTATGACCGAAACATTTTTCATAGAGCGTGCTAACTTCGTCATCAATTTTCTTCCGCAAAGACGTCACTTCATATCTGCTGCAAATATAACAAAAGGAATTTGCATTTTTGTGGCAGTCGTGCGTGTTTAGAAAGCCCAATGTCTTTTTTCTTGTCGCATAAGACTCTCCATAAACCAAGTTACCCATTGATGAAGAGGAACGGTTGCATGATGACGACATCGGCGAGCCCGCTTTCTCACCCTTACCCGACGCCGATACTGGGGTTCCGAATCCCTGCATCGTAAAACACTTTCTTTCTGTGCCTGCCATGACGGCATGAATGCCGTTTACCCAGGGACTCAGCCGGTATGGATCCGTTGCCCACCGTCACCACGTGGAGGTGCCCTGGTTACAGGCACAAGCGAAAAATGCTAAAATGGTCAGCGATATCATTATGTTCACCCATTCTTCTAGAAATCCAAAAATAGAGAGAATAAAACAGTAAATTTCATATTCATTTCGTTGTAAAGACATTGCTTATCGTGTTAAAATTTACATTTTTACAGAATAGTAAAATCTGCGATAGAAGATAAGGGTTATATAAGGCCAGTTTAGGTTAAATTAGGTGATTTAAGGTTAGGTTAGGTGAGTTAAAGTTAGTTTACGTCAACTGTAAGAATGAGACTCCGCTGATATAGGCTTTCAAAAAAAAAACTAGCCTTCAAGGCAGTATATCACAATTTCAGTATATTTCATTTCATTGCGTTTTTTCGAGGTTAGAGTCAAAATAACAACATGTGCGATCGATTCTGAGAGATTATTTACATTCAATGCATCGAAAAACATAAGAATCGACATGCCTCATCCCCAGAACAGAAAATACTAATTTTTTCACGGTTTTTGAGGTTAGGTTGAAACGCGGACCTGGAGGACAAATTTTGACATCGGATTCGGATTCAGCGCGTCAAAATCCATAGGAAAGCATATGTCGCATTCCCAGATCACGACACTTTTTTTTTTGTGTGGCTGTATTAATACCATTAAAATATATAGCAACTTACCTAAAATACGACCAAAAACCGTGGTTTCGTAATAATAAAAACTTAAAAGAGCTTTAAAATAAACTTAGGTTTTAAAAGGTTCGCACTCTGCGATCCTCTCCCCAAAACTTCAATATGGAGAGATTTTTTGCACCCAGCTTAGTAAAAAATGATTAAAAATTCGCGGGCTTAACCGTAATGTTGGTTGCCTAAGTTTATTAAACACATTGATACAACACAATGTAAATGTTTCATTACACAGTCAACACAAAGCGAGAACCTTCTCAGAAATGATTTGGATGCGTCGTCGAGCCATGCGTACTAAAACAAATTTAACCAGATTTACACCGCACAAAATACAAAAAAATAATAAAACATCGATGTATTTTCTCTATGGTTAGCTTGCAAATGAAGGTACGGTATAGTCAGTAACTTCTCCAGCTTTAAAGTTAACGTGACTAATCCCGGTTAATCTGATCATTGTTTATTATCTCTCGAATTCGATCTTTGTTTGTCCAATGATGGCATTAAAAAAAATAATGATATATTCTATTACTATAGAAATCTCTCGGTCGGCAACTTATCATATTTAAAAAGTCTTCTCGATGAAGTGGATTGGCGTGATGTTATACAAATTGAAGACCCTAACTTATCATTCAAATATTTTTTTAATACATTCATAAGATTATTTGAACTAGCTTGCCCTTTAGTAAAACAAAACAAAAACAATATTACAAAAACAAAATGGATAACTCAAGAGATAATAAACATGAGCAAAGAATTAAAAAACCTATACTGGTTTCCCAAATTGTAGGCAATGATTTAAAAACATTTTACAATAATAAGAAAAAATCTACAAAAAATGAATTAAAGAAACAAAACAAAAGCATTTTAGTAATTCTTTAAAGAACAGTGACAACATAAACAAGAAAATATGGCAAGTAATTAATGAAAATAGAGGGAAACATAACTACATAAAAACAGAAATTAATTTAATGAATGAAATCAATCTGGTAAATAATAAGGAACAAGTTGCAAATATTTTCGGTGAGTATTTTTCAACAGTAGCAGATAATGCATTACTTCCCCTATATGGTATTAACTCTGGAACCGATTGTACTGTTTGTGATAATGTTAGTCAGACTGTGGCATAATTTCCTAAATTGGGTAATATCGTTCTTATCTAAAAGAAGTATTAAGGTTAAAATTGATAACAAAATTTTAAAATCCTACAAAATTAACTATGGAGTTGCCCAGGGATCAATACTGGGTCCTTTAATATTTCTCTTATATATAAACGATCTACCCACACATATAAATGATGCACATGTAATCAATTTTGCAGATGATACAAGTATCGCAGTATTTTCTAAAAAATCAGACAATATCTCAAACCATATTAAAAGAGTAACTGGTGAGCTATCCAACTGGTGTAAAAGAAATAAACTTATCTTAAACCAATCAAAAACTATAACAATGCTTTTTAATAATTACAAACAGTACAAAATTCTTGGGTTTAAGCATTGATTGCAAACTCAATTGGGAAAGTCACGTTAACTTGGTCTGCTCTAAACTTAACAGCGCATTTTATGCTATTTTAAAAATAAAAGTATACAATTCCACGGAAATTCTATTACAAATGTATTACGCACTAGTATACTCTTATTTGTCGTATGTTGTACTCCTATGGGGAAATGCAACAACGGTAAATCGCGTTTTTGTACTACAAAAAAGAATAATTCGGCTCATATTCAATCTGAAACCCCGTGAGACTTGTAAAATTGCTTTTAAAAAAATAATATACTTACACTAACATCAATATTAATCTATAAAAGTGCTATTTATTTTTTTAACAACAAAACAACTTTTGAAAAAAATAACTTTAATCATAAATATAATACGAGGAACGGAGAAAGTTATAGAATACCTTCACATACTCGAACTCTTTACCAGAAATCTCCGAAATACCTATGCATGTTATAATTAATTTCAAAAATATTTGATCCATTGGGTTTAGTAGGTGTTAAAGCCCAAGTTTAACAGAAAAATAGTTAAACATATGTTTATTATTATTGTTTAGATATCACTCGTACAAGTAGCGTAAAAGCGACCTTGTGCTATATACTACTTAGTCAGCAAAAGTTCCAGTCAGTAGCGTACAGAATAAAATACAATAAAAAACACATGTTTTGTCTAGTGCGCTACTGATATTTGTTTTAAGTGTATAGTTCGAAAACATCAAATAATAAGATATGTTTTATAAATTATTTAAATTTGTTGGATATAAAACTCTGACAACTTTTAATAAAGACATAGTTTAACACTGCTTACTCTATCATTTCAATAGAATCTTAATTGATTTCTATTCATGGTCCTTCGAACTACTTGCTAACGCTGGGAGGTGAGCATCATCAAAGAGAAAATCTTTGTACTCGCCCAGTGCTTAGCATGAAAAACCAAGCCTTAAAGAAATCTTACACTGGGAGGACAAACTGATCCAGCAGCCCAGAAGATTTTGGAGCTCTATTCGCCTCCATACAACCAAGCTACAAAAAATTTTACACTGGGAGGACAAACTGATCCAGCAGCCCAGAAAATTTTGGAGTAAAGAAGAGCACAGTCCTGAAAAGTAAAGAATCCGGACCTCTATTCGCCTCCACACAACCAAGCTACAAAAAATCTTAAACTGGGAGGACAAACTGATCCAGCAGCCCAGAATATTTTGGAGTAAAGAAGAGCACAGTCCTAAAAAGTAAAGAATCCGGACCTCTATTCGCCTCCACATTACCAAAAATGCCATCCGACGACCAAATTTCACTTCAAAAAGTGAACGAATTGGCACTCCACCAAGAAACATTGGGAAAGAAATTACGCCAGATCCTAACAAACATGAAAAAGGATTCAGCATCCCGAAAAACCGCCATCTATATCCAACAAAAAATATTGGACTTGGACAACACATTCCAAGAAGCAATATCCATTGACGAACAACTAGAAAAAGAAAAAATACCATCCCATTCATATTTCCAACAAAAATATATGAAAAAAATCCGAGAAACGTACAAGGAAGCAATTGCATACCTAGACAAATGTAACGAAAACCTGCCACAAACGCCCGGCACCGATGCCACAACTAATAACGAAGAGGAAATCGAACACCTTCAAAACACAGATCAAATCAAGCGCATTCGACGCCAAAATGTTAGAATCCAGATGTTGGTCCATACACTCGAGGAAGCTGAACGAGATCTATCTGAACCGCGTCCGAGCATCAGATATGAGTCGCTAATACAAACGGCTACATCACAATGGACGTCAGTAACGCAATTGCATGAAGAAATTGAAGCTGAAGCTACCGAAACGGGCCACCCCTACTTTAAAGAAAA